ACGCCAGAGGCCGGATCCAGCAGGGTCGGCAAAGGTGAGGAGCACACAGTCGGTGTTCCAGGTGCCTTGCTGATGACAGGCAGCAGCGGGGCCGCAGCCATGGCAGGCGCGGGATCCGGTGCGGCATGCGTGACAGGAGCCACCAGCGAGGCCGAGGCCGCAGGCGTGGCCGGAGCAGGCAAGGTGGACCGGTCACTCTTGACGGACCCATGCTTGGTGCAGGAACGTGCCACCGCATCCGGAGAAAGCTGGAGATGGGTCTGCAAGAAGGCGACGGTGTGGGAATCTGAAAGCTCCAGCACAGTCGGCTTCACATATCGCTGCCCATCAGACGCCTGCAGCACACTCCCCAGTCCCATGCGCGCCAAGCCCGCCGCGACGCGTTGGAGCCACCACTCGGAGCGCGTGGCATTGGAATGCCCCTGCGCTTTGCTCCACCCCCGATGCAACTGGGCCTGGCCCAGGTCAGCCTGGTTTAGCTTCCGGGTAACCATCCCCTGCTCACAAAAGCGCATCCGGGCCATGTGAGGGCTTCCCGCATTAAGCCCAGGATCGCTGCATTGAGCTGGCGCGCCGCCTCCTCAACGGGGTCCAAGCATGTGTACAAAGGCCGGGGCCAGCGCTTGGCAGAACAAGGTCGCATCCACCTCGCCGTCTGCTTGTGGCCGCAGTGGCGGAAGAGAGGCGGCGTCGACCCCCTGCAAGAGACCGGCCAGACGAAGAGACACGGGGAAGGAACCGAACGAAAGGCGCGCGAAACGTCCACGTTTGGGCTCTCCCTCCGACACAGAGCGCCGGGCGCAGCCGAGACACCACGAAAGCCAACCGCAAAACCACCAAGGACAGATGCCAGGGTCATCCACGATCTCGGCCGTGATGCGCGTGTTGTCGATGGTCGCATCGTCCGGGACCAAGCCGAGGAGCGCGCGCAAAGAGAGACGTCCAGCACATCGTAACGCGTGATGCCGTTGGACCTGGCGCAGCTCAGCGGCTAATTGATCGTCAACATACTGCACGTACCCCGCAAGCCGCCAATTCCAGGCATCGAAGCACCGGAATTTCTTGAGGCCGGAATCCGTGAAGCGCAACTCCTGGTTGGGGAGGCCGTGGACGAAGTGGTAGCACCGCTTCATCCCCTGCTGGACGCAGTCCCCGCGCCGTGGGAGAAGGTCACGGCGAAAGCCAGCCCGATCTTCGAAAGTTCTCCATTCTCATCAAGGACCTCAGTTGGGAGCTACACATGGGCGGGTGGCAAGGCATATGGGTTCATCACCGGTGCGGTAAAGAAGAGATACTGCTCCCGGGTCGCCAAGCTGGCGGCGATGACGTCATCGTCGCGCAGGATGCGATCCGCGTCCCGTGCGTTGATGCCACTGCGAGTCTGACGATACAGAGCAAAAAGGTCCTTGCCGTAGCCGCGCTCTCGGTCGCGAAAAATTTTGCTGGGATGAGGACGTTGAGGTCGCTCTGACGAGCTTTGGTTCGCTGGCCTCCCCCGTATAAGCCCATGTCCTCAAAGAACCCTGCAATCTCGTCATGTCCGTGAAGAAGGCCATGATAGACGCGGGTAACCTTGTCGGCATCGCATTGGGCAAAGAGTTCCTCGGGCGTGGCGCCCGGAATGAACGTGAGGGTTAGGGGCGCCTCAGTGCGGTCAAGCTGTCCGTCAACGTGGCCCTGCAGACTGGCGTGAGAGGTGTCCATGCACTGGCCTGCGTGCATTGCAGAGGCAGCGCCCCGCGTCCGCGCCCCCCGACCCCACTCCGACGCCGCGCCTGCGCAACAAAATCTGCAGCGGAAATTGGGTCACGGCGGCCAAGTGGGATCGCAAAAAGTTCTGTGGGAAACCGCCGACAATGGCACCGGTGGTAGGAGAAGCGACGCCCACAAGCTGGAAGCCAGCGTCCACATCCCAGCCAGACTCACGAAGAGGTTGTTGCAGTTCCACGGCGTCGTAACGCCTCCACCACCCGCGTGCGGCCACCTTCGGATCGCACGCGCGGTTCGCGGAGCACGCGACCTGCGGGTTGAGGGCTGAGAAAGGTCAGGACCAAAGGTAGAGAGTACGTCAGCAGCGCGCGCAAACGCACGGTTGGCCGCGCGGACCCCCAGATGCACCCGGACCAGGAATGCAGTTCCCAGCGCTGGTGGCCATGAACCAAGCTAGCCACAAGCCCCTGCAAAGTTCTTCCCAGTCGTACATGACCTTGTAGCGATCCGGGCTGTAGGTTGACCAGCACTGTGGGCGGCGATCCCACGCGCGTGCCAACGATCCACATACGCCTGCAAGCGCGCAGCAGCCACGCTCCCACAGGACCGCAAATGCGGCGCCAAATGGCGCACCAGTCATCATATAGCCAATGGTGTGCAGGGCTGGATTGATTCGCAGCACGTGCTCCACGTATAGGCTGCTACCTGCGGCAAAAATTCAGCCCCATGGAAGCGCTGGGGAGGCATGACAATGCCACAGCCGAAGGTCGCACAAAGGATGCCGCCACGCTGGTAGGCGCGGACGCCGCGGGCTTTGCAGGTGTTGCAGTCATCCGCCTCTGGCGCCCACACTTGTGCAGGCGGAGTCCGCGCTGCACGCGGCTGCCACCAAGGTGTGTGTGTGTGTGTGTGTGTATTCCTCCGGACAAAAATACGACAACGAACAAAAGGCGACGAAAGAAAGCCGCACCTCTGCCGCCGGCGGTCGCGCAAGCGGGCAGCATGAACCTGCAGCAAATGCTCCTCCTGCGCACGATGCTCTGCAATGCCGCAGGTGATGTGCCCGCAGCGCGGGGCCCGCAAACAGAAGGCGGTGCGCCCATCGAGACCGCGTTCGGCGAAGCAGCGCCCATGCGGGACGAGCTTCTCATTGCCATCCAGCGGAATGCTAGAGGCGCAAGCAGGACCACGCCAGGCAGGATGCGTAGTCACCCAACGGTCCTCGAACGCTTGCCGCAGCATGGGGAACAGCTGCTGGCAAGCGAGCTGTAGCGCCAGGCTGCGATCCACGGCGCGGCCACTGAGCCGCAGCCGCGCGGCCGAAGGAGCTCCAAAGAAGCCAGCCATCCAAGCCGTATCCAGCAGTGATTCCACCACCACAACTGGAGATACACCGCGAAGAAAGGCGAGCGCCGCACTGCAGATCCGCCCCCGCCGAACACGGCATTGCGGCAGAGCAGGAAATCGTGCCCGCTGATACCCCCAATGAGAAACAAGCCATCAAACCACTCGAGCAAGTTCCGATGGAGCCAAACGCTTTGCGTCAATGGATACAGCAGCGGGCGCGGCGCCGCAACGTCACCCGGCAGCACACGATCCCAACCACGCGCATCACGGCAAAACCATGGATACATCGCCGTGGTTTCATTAATAGGTGCACGACTTCGATTTGCTGTACCGGCTGTGGCCGCAACTCCGCCGCACAGGAAGGGCAAACGTCCAAGTTAGACGCCCGCAAGGCATCCGCTTCCATGGCAGCGCGGCGCGCGAAGCCGCAAACGTAGGAGCCAAAAGCCGCTAGAAGGATGCGTTGCGCGCCAGGTCATGCCGGGCCACATCCTGCGCGGGACCGGCGCCGGCTTCCAGTCTCCTGGCCGCTAAACCCTGCAGGGCATTCATATTTCTGGCACCTGTGCGGAAGTCCAAGCGAAAGTGTCGGAGAGAGGGACTTTGGCCACCCGAAAGAGCCGGATTGATCATTTGCGGGAAAGGTACTAGGCGCGGCAGAAAGATAGAGGTAGGCTAGCTTCTGTGCCTACGGCCACTCCAATTTGGAGGGGCGCACGAATCGTCGACGTTTCGCGCGCCCCTCACGGCGGTGCTGCTCTGTCTGCTGCTTTCCTCCCCCTGTCTGTCCCTTTTCGTGGTGCCCATGCCCTTGCTTGATCGCTGGTATTCGGGGTCAGTCGTTGCGTGCCAGATCCTGCCGGGGCGCATCCGGTAGGAAGGGGAGAGGGGGAGGCAGGTGGAGGGGGGCAGAGAGAGGAAAGCAACGGACAGGGAGGAGAGGGCCAGGAGGAAAAAGGCTACGAGGCTAGGACACCCCTATGGCGACAGGCGAGGCATTAGCCGAGGGCAGCCCCATGGATAGCGCTAGGCATAGGCCTAGGATAGGCCTATGGCTAGCCTAGGCATAGGCCTAGGATAGGCCTATGGCTAGCCTAGGCATAGGCCTAGGATAGGCCTATGCCTAGGTAGGCATGGGCCTAGGATAGGCCTATGCCTAGGCTAGGCCCCAGGAGTTCTATGCCCAACTTCGAGAAAGGACTGGACTTCATAGTTAAGTTTCCCTAAACATCTAGGTCTAGGAACCAAATGAATAATGCGTGAGCTATCCTGCGTCCTGTTTTTAGAAGCGAAACATGTTGCGAACGAGACCTGGAAGTGCAAGAGAAAGATGTGCCAGGAGATCCCCCGACTCCTTCACGTGAGTCAAGCACCTGAGCATTCCCCGGAGGAACAAATGACGTTAAATGACGTAAACAAATCAGCCACATTACGAGCTGGTGAATGTTTCTTCCTAGACGTTCCTTCCTTGTGAACTGTGTAACTTTGCTCAGGCCAAATCGAAATTTCAAGCTTCCAGTTTTGGAAGAGGAGCAAGAGGCCCGACAATCCGCATGTGAGTCTCAAGACAGGCCTTTGCTGATGAGCGGAGTGATATCGCGAGGTGGATGAAGCTGACGGCCCATCACCACCAGGCGGGGTGGCATGGTCCGACGGCCCATCACTCTTTTGCGACGTCGTTAATTTTGATGTGAAGGATTGATTAGCTGTTTTTAGCCCGGTTAGGGTACCAGTTAGGACATACATGGACATACTTTGAAGCCAGCCAGTCTGGCTCGAGACGAATAGCGAATGCACAAACATCAGCTGCTGGTCTTGGATGAAGTTTTGTGAGTGACACCTACCTGTTCCTTAAATTTGACATGCTATACTTGGTCTAACGAAGGGTTTCTCCTTCACATTGGTGGATGGCCAGTAGCTATTCCTTGCTAAGCCGTTCACCCATGGCGCTTTTGGCTGGGGCAAAGCCTGGTCATGTGGAACTCGCTGGTGTCAAGCAGTGGTGGGGCACTGACATTTCAGAGATCTCAGTAGACGCACCCTGGCAATACAATGGCAGCGAATCATCAAGTCACCAAAAACATGTGTCACGCGACATACTGGTGGAGAGGGTAACAGGATATATCACTGACAAAGACTTACATAATTGAGCTTTCTTCAAGGGCTTCAGGAAGTTATTTTGTTTGCTTGCTTGCTTGCTTGGGTGCTAGCTAGTTAGGTAGTTAGTTAGTTGGTTGGTTAGTTAGTTAGTTAGTTAGTTACTTGGTTGGTTAGTTAGTTAGTTAGTTAGTTAGTCTAAGGCCCTTTGCCATTTGCATTCACTCATGGAATGATGACACCTTTTACGTTAAAAAAACCCTTTATTATGGATAGGGCAACTGCCACATGCTAGAACACCATGCTACTGCCAAGATGAGATAGGAAACTGTGGTCATTGCAAAGTGTACGAAAAGCATATGAGATAGGTCTCCAAAATTGCCCAAAAATGGATTGAGCACATGTCCAAAGGCTCAGACTTTCCTTCACAAACGTCTCTTAAGTGTCTCGCAATGTTGTTTCCCGTTTGCCAAATCTGAGATAGGTCCTCATGTCATGAGATAGGACCTTATAGTCCTTTTGAGCCTCCTTTATGTAGTTTGGACACATGCGATACGCTTTTGGGGGTTGCAACTGCGGACACATGAGATAGGAAGACTCATTTCCGCATGTATGTTTCACTACTCCTGTGTCATCTCCGGGTAGCGTAAATAAAAGCAGCACATTGATGGGCATGAGGGATTTGCATGCCCTGAGGTCACGAATGTTGAGGAAGATACTCGGCAGAGACTGGGAGTGCCTGCTTGCTGCGACAGGTCTGGTGGACTGATGATCAGATGCTGCACTTGTCTGGTTCTAGGAGCCACTTGCCTTGTTCAAGCTGTTTTGAATTCACATTTGGCAGACTGGGGGAGCATTTTGTATGCAACTGGAAATTGCAGGTTTGCTAGGCAGATGAGCGTTGCACTAAGGTTGTTTTGCCTCCTATTTTGATCAGCGCGGGCAGTGATATCGGCACAGAGGTTTGGAGAGAAGTTGCCACAGTGACTGGCCTTGTGTTGTTCACCCTCTCGCTTGCTTATTGCTGCTGTAGCATGCGGCGCACGTGCTGCGAAGGAATTTTCAATCTGCCAGAGCCAGCACCACTTGTTCCTCCCCTGTCCAAGAGCAATCAAAAAGTGATTGCAGTGAAGCGCGTGCTCCTGATTTACAATCCCAATGCGGGAAAGCGACAAGCTGAGTCCATCTTGAACAATGTTGTGCTGCCCGGCCTGCAACAGCGAGGTATCCAATGCGATGTTGTGCCAACAGAACGAGTTGGACATGCGAGAGAAATCGGCATGACTAGAGATTTGACTGGCTATGATGCAGCTGTCAGTCTTGGGGGAGACGGAACGTTTCATGAGCTTGTGAACGGCATTCTTTCAAGAAAGGATGGACAACGCTTGGCAGTTAGTCTGATTCCGCTGGGTTCTGGAAATGGTTTAGCAGCGACTCTTCGGCAGAATATGCAGAGACGTGGCGAAGAAGTGTCGGTGTGGTCTGAGCTTGATGCCGTTCTTCAGTGGTCCATCGAGCGGATCGCAGGAGGCCGTCTTGCTGCTGTTGACTTGTTGGAGGTTGAGGTCATGAACAAACGCTTGGCTGCTGTGATGCAAGTCTATGTGGGCCTTCTGGCCGAGCTGGACCTTGTTGCAGAACCACTCAGATGGATGGGCCCTGCGCGCTTTGACGTGACCTCTGTTTGGATGATCTTGCGGAAGCAGGCGCACCTGGTGGACTGCAAGCTCACCTATGCAGATGGCACGACCTCTTCTTCCAACATGTCATGTATAGGTGCGAGCATTGGTTTATGCCAACACTTTGACGACAAGCTCAGAGCTGTTCCACAGGACTGCCTCAAACACGATTGATTGTTTAGAATCTCCACTCTGGCATTTGATGTTCTCAGTCGTATCTACAAGACAACGCAGTACCACAAAAACCATTCAACTTTGACTCAACATGCTTTTCAACAAGATCCAGTTTATGATGTCTATATACACTTGTCTGACATGTTGCTTTACATCTGGCCTACTGTTTACATGGCCGCCGTGTAAAACAGGCTCAGTTGGATGACGGGCTCTTGGAGTTTTCAACGATTTCCTCCGATGCCTCGGTGGATCAGCTGATGGCGGGTTTCTTGAAGTTGGCGCATGGGGCCCACACGGAAGACGAGGACCGGGTGAACCGGACTGGGCGAAGTAGGTCCGCGGCGTTCCCCCTATAGTGGAAGTGGGTGTCGATCACGGGGATCTCACGCAGAATTTGTTTTTTTGTGCTGCGTTCAACGAGAGAAGCGAAGTCGGGATCAGCTCGGGCAGGTTGTCTGGTCATCAAAGCAAGTGACAGCAGTAGAACTTCGATTTGAACGGCCTGGACTGTTCAATGTGGATGGCGAAATCTTGGAACATGACGGTGTGCTGCGCTTGCGCGTTTTGCCTGGCATGATGAACATGCTTGTGCCCGGGCTGGATAGCTAGTTCTTCTCTTCGTGAAGTAGAAACGAACACAAGTCACACGAAGCCAAGTAGGATTCTGTCGACCCTCCCTGCAAAATCATTTGAATCCACCTCACCAGCACATGCATCAGAACCCAACTAAACTGAGTAACTGTCTGAGAAAGATTGGTTCATCCAGACAAGCGCCAGGTTGGCAAAGAAGAGTCCGAAAGTGCCGCACCTGCAGCAGAATCTGCACAAGCCGCCCAGTGGGGTGCTGACAAGCAACGCTGGAGGATGCTGGGGCTCTACGCACTTGGGTGCATGGCAAACCAGGCGATGTGGATTGGCTTTGCTCCCATCGAAGCCGAAGTCATTCACACATTCGATGCTTCCTCTACTTGGGTCAATCTGTTGTCCTTGGTTTTTATGATCGCTTCGAAGCTGCAAATAGGCAGCTGTCATTGTGATCGTTTTAAATTGTAAACACACTTAGTTTGAGCAGGATTCAAGACATTTGCATGGATGGGCAAAGAATTTTGAAATCTAGCGCCTAGGGTATATAGATAGCACAACTTTAAAGACTAGGTTCAACGGAGGAACTGCCTGAACCTTTAGGTGGATTCTGAGCCATGTACGCTCGAAGGACAGACATTTTACCTCACCTCTAAGATACAGAAGGGCTGCAAGAAGGCACCCTTTAAAGGGGGCCGCTCTCGCGCTGACGAAGCTCAGCAGCCAAGGAGGCTTCCGCGCACCCTCTGCCCTCCCATTGCTTTTATTACCATATTCAATGAAGACGGGAGCAACGGGGATGCCCCCGATTCTTGCAAAACGGAAAGCCGTCACGAAAACTTTGGCAAAAGAGGCAGGTGAAGCAATGTCCGGACTTTCCACTGAGAAGTGGATCTTTTGATGGAAGGCCAAAACAGCAAGCTCAAAAATAGAAGTGGCATGTCCTTCACCTTCACCTAACCTCCATCTCAGGTTCCTGCAAAAAGATTTAACAAAAAACAGCTTGACATTTTCCGGATTCATGGCACGTTTGGTCAGCAGAGGAACATCATCGAACTGGGCAACCCAGGAATACTGTGAGATCGACGCATTCCACGGTCAAGCCTGACATAACAACTTGGGATCAGTTTCTTTAACATCAGTTACGAACAGGCTCTGTCACAACCTTCGGACAAATCTGTGAAAGGTGCCTGTTGATTTGGGAGAGCTAACGTTGCTGGGCAAACACAAATTCTTGCTTCAGTGTAAGATCATTTAGCAACTGTTTACATTCTTGTGCAATGACTGCCTCTGCTGCAGCATCAGCAGCCCGATTCATATCATGTACAGCTGCCAGCGCATCTATAAGGGCTGATGCGTCCAAATCTAGGAGATGAGCAGGACACCAGACCAATTGTAACGGAGCTTCACACACACACACAGAACTACGCAGGATAAAGAAATTGCAACCATTCAACATGTGCCCACGTTGAATCAACCTGATGAGTTTCCAACAATGTATTCGTCAAAAGGGGCCTTGTTGAAGGGGCCCTTACCTTTTCTTTTTCCGTTTTTCTTTTGGGAAAGCCTTTGTGGCCTCAGGTTTACTTGCCAGCCAATTTTCCAGCTTCATATGCCATGGATGTTCTTGGCTGCCGCCGTGGCCCCAGTTCCCATTTTAATGTGATTTGACAACTGTAGAGGTTCCACAATCTTTTAAATTTCATATGGAAAAACACGTTCCATGCGGTTTCAAACGCATTCCTCAGGCCATGCACTGATCATTGGCGGCTCACTCCAGACGCTGGGGGCAGTGCTTCGATGTGTGAAACCAGTTGGCCCTGGCTCGGTCAACATGGTCACTTGGCGACCGGGTCAGTTGTCCGGTGAAATGCCCCGGTTTGGCCATGGTGGGGTCTTGGTTTGGCCATGTTCCTTTTGTTATATGTGTCCAAACCCTCAGGAACAATAAGGTTCACAGCAAAAACGATAACGTTGGGAAGAGTGCGCACTACAACACATAAGAGGTTTCGCACGTCACTCATATGATGTACTGGTAGAAACGTTTCCAACCACAACGACCATCGAAACAGGATCACAACAAGAGAAAACATATTATGATCTTCAGCTCCCTGAAATGGACTTGAGCGAATGGACTGAGGTCATGGCGGGTCAAGTCTTGGCAGCGATCGGCCAACCCTTCTTTACAGATATGCCCCCGAAGATTGCAGTTGACTGGTTCCCACCGTATCAACGTGTCATCGCAGATACCATCGCATCCTTGTCGATGCCCATCGGGGCAGCGATTGGCTTCATTTTGCCTACTGGTTTGGGTTTGCAGAATATGCTGTATGCCCATCTTTGCTGGAGCAGCGCAGCTCTTTTCCTAATCATCGTATTTTTTCGTTCGGAACCGACAAGGCCTCCAAGTCCAGTGTCGTCACATCATGCAGGAAAGTCCTTTGCCAAGGAGCTCAAGGCAGCCTTGTGCAACGGACGACTTTGGTGTTTGATAGCTTCCTTTGCGTGCAGCTTGGGCTCTTTCAATACTATGAGCACACTTGCAGCACAACTGGTGGGACCATTTGGCTTTGATGCAGATGCAGCTTCAGCCTTTGGTGTAGCGACGACCCTGGGCGGTGTGATTGGCGCAGCTCTCATGTCGGTGATGGTGGGCTTGACAGGAAAGCACAAACCTGTGCTGGTGACTTGCTGTATAGCCTGTGTTGTTTTCTCAGCTTTGGCAACACTCACAGTCGTCTACTTGGGCAACTCTAGAGGCTTCGAACTCCTCCTTGTTGCCTTTGCAGGTCTTGGATTCTCAGCCACTCCATTAATGCCCATTTCCTTTGAGGCAGCGGTGGCTGTTGGGCATCCGACCGGTGAAGGAACGCTTGCTGGCTTGTGCATGTCAGGAGGACAAGTGCTCGGGATCACGCAAACGCTGATCATTGGGGAGCTTTTGCAGCGAAAAGAGGCCACAACTGCTTGGATACTTTCTGGTGGCCTTTTCCTTGTTGCTCTTGTGGCGGTGCTTCTCTTCCAACCAAAGCAGGAAGCATTCAACCAGCAAGATGAGTGCGAGTCAAGTTGTGATGAGCCGTCAAGCGTGGCCTGAGAAGAATGCGATGGCAGATTGTCAACCAAGAGTAGCCACATTAATCGCTTTCTTTGCCAACCGTTTTGCTTGGTGCCAGGAAATGCTATTTGAGCAGTGCTCTGGCCGTGTGCTGCTTGCCGCCTTTGAACACGGCATGGAGATGCCCAGCGTCCGTTTGGGGCGAGGGCATCTTCGTGGAGCGAATCTGAAAGAGCGTACATTGAGGGTTCGGATCATGTCGTGCACCAGGAGACGACCTCCGAACATTTGTTTGACTGCCTTATTCCCGATGCATTTGCAGGTGTAGCACAAACTTTGTGTGACATCGTTCCTTCATCGCCTGCTCCATCAATCAAAGAGGCGGGCGGGCTGAACACTTTATGCAAACTTTATGCACATCTTCCTCCAATATCCTCTAAGAAATGGACCCAGGCAGGCCATGCCCATGTTCAATGTCCATTTTCTTGCGGCGATTCGCATGCTTCTTGCAGAGGACCGACCCAAGCCTGTGAAGCTCAACTTTGACCTCCACTCGCGGTGGAAGCCACGACCTTGCTTTGTCCAAACAGCCAAAGATATTCTTGATTCTTGAGTTGGAGTGTTTGGAAGCTTTTCACAGTTCAGGTGAATCATGAGGTTTTACAAGTAATCATTGAATGGTCGTGCTTTCTCTTTTGTACCAGAGCTCTAAGGACATTGGACGCACTGCGGAGTCAGGTGGGTGCTGGGGGATGTTTTGGAAATCACCCTCGTGACATTTGCAGTAAGGCTTCAATTTCATGTCATAGTTTTTATATAGTTTATAGTCTATAGTTGGGCCTTTGTGTGATCATTTGGAAATCCTCCAGAGCTTTTGTTGACGAAGGACTCCAGTGTTGCAGTGGCCGCCGCATTATACCAGCAAGACGAAGGGGAGTCCATTGAAGGCCAGTCTGCAGGTGAAAATGGCCAAACGCTGGAGCACTGCTAATGCCTTGTCCGGTCTTTAGAACTGCACTCGCCAAAATCTGATGATTGCACATTTCTGTGATGCAGAATGCAGACATGATGTATTTTTTGTTTTTTAATTTGCGGATGAAACTCCATATATATATATATACCAATTGGTTCCTCTTTTGTCTACAGTGGGCGTGAGGCTCTGATTCGGAAAAGTCAAACTGCTGCTTGGCAGAAAGAGTTTCAACACCTTATTCTGACTTGGGTACTTCAAACCGGCTTGATAGGTACCTTCAAGTGTTGACAGTTCTTCAACCTGTAGGATTAGATATTGTATATTTTGTGTGAATGTATTTGTGCAGTGACTGGACACTTGTTCACTCAGTTGTCGCTGTGCTGCTGGTGACTACAATTGATATTTGCAAGGTGAAGACGGCCGGAAACCGGGCACACTGCAGAGGTGCCATGGATTTTTGAGTCCTAACTCACCAGGGAACTTGCAGCTATGTAATTGATTCTTCTGCTTCTGGCACCAACATACAGGTGTGTCAAGCGGGTCAACACATGCATGACGCCTTGGATGATCTCTCCAAACTCAGTGGTCCGCTCATGCAAAGAGCTAAGTTGCGGAGCTTGGTCGGTGTGGCCATGGAGTTAAAGGCATGCTTCTTGTTACTAGTAGTCAGAATGCTCCTATAGTAGCGATGCCAGGAGCCCCTAGTAGCGTCCTTGCTCCTAGTAGTAAGGCCAGGAGCCCCTAGTAGCATTCTTGCTCCTAGTAGTGATATTGAAGTTGTTTACACACTTTTATACAAACTCACCAGCAGGCCATTGTTGCATTTTGGTATTGCTTCCAAGGTTGGGACTCCTTGGCTTGCATTTTTGTGATTTATGAATGCATTGTGCTGCCCTTGTATCAGCTGCAAAGAACAGCCACGGCATCAGTTGCAATACACGTTCAGGGATGAACTGCACTAGTAGTCAACATTGCAACACGTGGCATTGCCTGAGATGATTCCTTTGGCCTTCTTTGACTTTGGCGAGTCCGCTTTTCTTGATGTGGTCGGCTGGATTGCAGGTTCCCCAGGCATTGCAGTTCGCTAGTTAAGTTAAGTTTCCCTAAAAATCTAGGAACCAAATTATTAGCGCGAGCGCTTCTTCAGGGAAGCTCCCCCCGCCACCCTAGGGGGAGCTTCCTTGAAGAAGCTTGAGCTATCCTGCGTCCTAAGTAGTAGCTACTTGTAGGTACTAGCTACCTAGCTACTAGCGGCCTACCCCCTTAAGTAGGCTAGTAACTTACCTCCTTACTTGGATTAAGTAGGCGCCTACTTAAGTAAGTACGGAGGGTGGGAGAGCGGTTGTCTTCCCAGGTGCGAATCTTTTGGTCTGTGGACTTCCCCCTCTCATGCTTCACGGGCTACGCCTTGCCGGGTGAGATGGTCGAGATGCGACCCAAGAAGGCGGTCTCGTTTCTCCGAAACACGCGCGCGTTGCATTCCAACACGTGGCAGCTTTCTGCGGTCATCGTGTAAGAGAGAGGTTTTTCGCGTTTTGAGATGGCGTTTGCGGTCATCCTATGGCTTCAGGTCTTCCCCCACTATGCAAAGACATGGATGTCTTTGGCAGTGTGCTCAAAGACATGTCGTTTGGTTTGTTTTGAAGTGTTTTGACTTTGACAGTGACTGAGAGTCCGGAGTTCCGTCACGAAGCGCTTCTTCCTTTTCATTCCTGAATCACTGAGGATGTATCAATGCTTTGCGTTGACTGGGCGGAAGCTCCTGCCTCAACACTGGCAGCAAAGTCCCACAGAAGCACCGATCAGAGCAGATAATTATGTGATGAGGTCATTATTGGCGGGGGTGGTATGGGCAGCCTGAACGCAGCTCGCATGGGCAAAACTGCCTGGCGCCCTGCGTAAATCAGAAAGACCATGATTCGGGTCCGTTGAGACCGGCAATTGCAGCTGGCAGGTGAAGAGCCTTCGAATGATTCGAATGATGCGACTCTGGCATCGGTGCTCAGGAACAGTTGGCCTGTGGTGTAGCCACTCCAGCGTGTGTACAGAAGACTCGATCCCCCTCTTGCCGACAGTCTTTTGAGGCGATTGTTGAATGTCAACCGCCTGCCTGAGAGTGTGAAAGTCCTGATCCACCACTACTTCCAGTCAGAAGTAACTTGGTGGAATGGCATCCATTGCCAACAAGGACGCTACTACGGGCTCCTGGCAGTACTACTAGGAGCAAGGACGCATGGCATCCATTGCCTTACAAGTCTTGTTTGGAGTTGCAGAAAAATCAGTGCTCGCCGTTGCCCAGGTGAGCCGCATTGTCTTGGACATTTGCAAAATCCTATTGTTTTTGGTTTGGATCAATCATGTGCGGTTCCAAGCTGCCTGTCCCACTGTGCCAGGAAGAAACAAAGCCAAACTTTGATACTGAGAATATCAGATGTCTTGAATATTCAGAGTTAAGGTGTATGCATTGGGTCACAGCCGCTTAATCTATTCGCATACCCGACATCTCGATTCAGGTGCTGGCATGCTGCTGGCGATCCTGACGAATTGATCATGACTGCTTTTTCCACAGCGGGACAGCAGCTTCAAGCATCAGTTCTGAAGCTTCAAGTGTTTGTTGTTTGTTTACAAACCCATTTGCTAGAACAACGCAGTCCTCGTAGCGATTGCCTCACCAGTTGTTTCTACTTTGCTAGGAGTGAGCTTGAATTGGTCGTTAAAAATTCTGCCCCGAAATTGCAACCATGATGAGAAAGGTCTTCTAGTTTTGCAATGTCGGACCAGAGCACTTTGTTTCTGCCTTTTGTCACTTCCTCTTGCAAAAACCCCGAAACTCGAATCTCGAATCCTTAGTTTTCTATTTGCGAGACTCGTGCACGAGTTTTGCTGGTTTTTTCAAACTAAAGTTTCAGCCAGAAAATTTGGTTGCCCAGGTAGTCATGCTTCGCCTTAGTTTTTGTCAAAGTTCTTGGTGGCTCTGAAGCTGAGATTTGGTCACTCAAGCAAAGGTGTTTCTCAAAAACTAGTTGACTCCTCCCAAGAAACAGCTTAATCGCCGATTATGAGACCTATTGCCTTTGTTGTACGAGGTTTTGACTGCAAAATATTAAGTGACACAGTCGGTTTGCAAACATGTGCAACAAAACGACAACCTGGTGTTCAGTAAGTCTGGGGCCTCTAAACCCAGACTCAAATACTGGTTATCAGGACATGGTGATGCTCCGGTTTGGAGCTTAACTGCCTGTTATACGTAACTTTGGCGTCCCAAAGTCAATATCACCATGCTTTCCAACGTGTCCATTGCCCCCCTGCTGTCATGAAAGGTTCCGGTATGCGACTAACAGGTTACACACACACACACTTACTTCAAAATTTAGTACGTACGGCCAAGTGTGGTTGCACCCTTCGACGAAACCTAGGTGAACATTCATTAGTTCGAATTTAGCTATATAAGGGCTTTGTGCCGGGGGGGACGGGAAACAAATTCAGGAAATCGCACAGTATATAGACGTGTTTTCTTTTTGGTTCTAAATGCATGTTTTTCCAGGCCCACAGAGCGTCGCACACTTTTATTTTACGTCTCGAGACTTCTATTGATCGATGTTGGCACTTCCGCGGTCTCTTCGCTGATTCTTTGTGGAGTGCGCGACAGGTATGGCATTGCAGATTCAATGACACTGGAGGATGGCAGTTGGCTTCAAAAGGAACGTTTTCAAGACCAGCATGAAGCCTGGGCACGAGACAGAAGACTACACGACACAGCCGACACATCATTTAGCGTGGATACTTGTGTATACTTGTGTATAAATGTGAGAGAGATGACTGACCAAGACAAGTGTTTCGGATAGTATTGCCAAGGGAGTTTGCCTTCCTCTATATGACATGCTTTCACTGGAGCTTAACTCAGTTTGTTCTGGGCTCAGTGCCACTTTTAGTCATGAACAGCGCTTCGCACCTGCTCTTCCCAGGCTGGATCCACCGATGTTTATCCAGTGAGTGTGCCAGAGGCCAAGTTGGTTGAGGCAAAAGCTGACTGAACTGCTAAATTGAAAGAACCAACAGCCTCTGCTCTCCCATGTGGTGAATTTCCATTGTCCATGAATGGTAAAGGCAGTTATGTCACCTCAGCAGTTCAAGGTATGAACGTACTTTCGCAGTGTGTGCATTGGTCTTTTGCTTCATCATTTCTGCGTGGAGAGCTCAGGACTTTTGTTTGTTTGTTTGTTTGCACATGGCGTACGGCCAAACTGTTGGGAATGGAACTGGTGTGAACTCCCCCCCAGAAGTTACGTAGTTTAATCAGGCATTTCTAAGCTGTCTCCTCCTTCACTGACTACCCAGGGCCTAGGACCCAAGAGGTATGTGTGCTCAAGTAAATCATGAGGGGCTTTCCGAAGCGAGGCCCTCGAAGGTCACCAAGAAACTCAATAAAGACACACTTTCGAACCATTCACGATAGGGATCGACATGTACCCTGGTTTCCAAAGATGACTATGAACCAAATTTCACAACCAAGTGGTTTGCTAAGTATCAACCAGGCTCACTTGCGGGAAGAGCAGCAACACCACCGGCCATTGTATGACCAGGTCGATTGTCAGCAGCATCACCACCTCAATGACCCGGCTGTCCATTGCAAGATCAAAGGTGAGAAGGGCGAAACAGAGACGGAGTTGAACATGTCACCCCAAACAGACAGAGTTGACGTAGGATTGGTGCAAAACAGCCCACTAATTGGGGGAATGAGCTGAATGCAAATGGTCGTAGTGAGAAACGGTTTCAGCGCTGAGCTGCGGCGATCAGTTGCATTTCTTCTGTTCAGGAGACCACAAAGCTAGCAGCGCTCAAGGACCTGGCATCACCTTTGCTTCAGCGAACATTGGAAACACATAAATAACTTCAGCTCCATGACTACTTGTGACTTCACGTGCCCATATAGTGAGGAATATTTGCGAGAGCACCATATATCCAGCCGCATCATGGTTGCGCAAGTTGAGCTGGGGATGCAAGACGGAATTCTGGCAGACCGTGCAGACCAGAAGTAAGCGATAACATATTCTGCCCCAGGGTTTGTGTTATGAAGGTGAGTTTGCTTGTGTACACATGGGAATTGGCTTCAGCGAATCAGATCCCGAATCACACCTCCAATTATAGGAGCGACACCTTTACCTTTAACCATACCCAAATTGTACCCCTCGTTTGTAATTCTAGAGTCCACTTGGACAACTTGCCTTTGTAAGTATGAGAGACAATCTTTTGCTTGCTTGATTCATGTGAAACGAGCCAGCTTGTATTTGCAAGCTGCATAGCCGTACATTAGATGTTCAAGTCTTCGACACGGTAGCAAGGAACGTTTTCCAACAAGTTTCCGGGGAAAGATGTATGTCTAGCTTGGTCATTTCTTTCATGCCTCTTTTGTAGCTGATTCGCTGTGGATTCAATAACTAGACCTAGCTGTAGTTTCTTGCCTGTAGCTTATGTTTGCAAGCTTGACTGTGTGCAGCTAATATAGGTACTTAGTATATGTGGTACCTTTCCTGGAGATACTCCAATCTGCTCATCACACCGGACTTATACTTGGGCATCACTGAGGTACTGCTTTGAGAGCTGGTTCCTCAAACTTACAGAGGACATAAGAAAAAGCATTGTTTCCATGAATACTCTTTAGCAAAGTGGCATCTGAAAGTGGCCATTGCCACCGATATTTCTGAAGGTGCAACGCAATGCGCAGTATGCCTTGGAAGAACAGAAGAGGCTGGGCTGGGCTGGGCCATTCTCAACAGCAGATCGGATTGTTGAGAATCATGTGAAAAGAACTGCACCAACTGTTACATCGAAACTGAAATCGAGGACCCATCGAAACTGAACTCTTGAGGCATACACCCGAGGAAGACATTGAACTCTTGGCCTTCCTCTCGGAGCCTCTGCGAGTCGGGACCCCTCGAGTCGAGGGTGGTTGAGTGGACGAGGGGTCCGAGGGTCCGAGTGGGAGCTTTACCTCGGCCCAGGTGGAGCTTCGCTACGAAATCTCCATGCCGGCATTGAGGACTGCAATGGCATGGAGATCTTTTTTTTTCGGCATTTGAGGTGTAGTTCGGTGTGATCATGACGACGTTCGTTGGATTTCTATTTTTCCCATGGTGAAGTTCATCCAGACTCTGGTGCTGTGTGGCTCATGTGACTCTTATGGCCAGGAGACATGGCTTCTTCCAGACTCTTGATCAGGACGACTCCATGTGGCCTTCAGAGTTGGGACAAGTGGGGCAGTTGAGAACACACACCAACTCGCAGTGGCAGTGGCACCGGCAGTGCAGCGTGGTGCACGGTACCAACAAAGAGCAACTTGAGCCTCGGGGCCTTCGGGGCCTTCGGGGCCTTCTGCAGCTGTGCAGCTTGGTGCAGGAGAACCCTGCTGTCGCGAGGCAGATGTGCTACAAGGTGCTCTGATGGCGAACCTTGATGTGCTCTTGGTCGGTTCAACCTGCAAATCAAAGTTGTTTGCCAGCACGCTTCAAAATCAATCCATTGTCCAAAGCGGCTGCCATTCAACCAGGCCTTGGGCAGCATGATGATCCACAAAGCCGAGATCCTTTTCGTACAAGGGGTGCGCTGGTTGTCCCGGTCGTGGTTTGAAAGACTTGAGACTGACACGTCCTCTTCCGATGGAAGCACCCTTTTGCTTGAGAGACTTCTTTGCTCAGTATCATTTCACCTATCATGTTTTCTTGTCACTCGTAGCTTCTTGTTCCTAGTAGTAAGGCCAGCAGCCCCTAGTAGCGTCCTTGCTCCTAGTAGCGATGCCCTTTGCTCCTAGTAGCACCTAGTCACCTAGTCATTGGCTGTTGTCGACATTCCAATCTTGTACTGCATGGCTCGGGGGCACTCGGGGGCACTCTGTGTGATTTGGGATGCAGGTGGAGCAGGTGAATCAGATGTACTTATTTACTGACGGGTGTCTTGGCATATCTCGACAGTTTGGAACACACAACTTGTCAAGCGCCCAGGAAGCTGTCCTATTTCAGAGATAGCTCCGTTGGAATTCACACCAAGGCTGCTCGGCCCTTCCATGTTTCAGAGACTGTTTGCTGTCCTGGTAGCTTTCCAGAAAACAATGGCCAGTCAAAAGGACCTTTCGCTTCAGTACGTTTTCATACTGTGCTGGGTTGACGAGGCCAGCAGTCAGAGAACAAACATCGTTCGCAAAAAGGACAAGATTACGATTGGCTAGACACCCAGCAACCAGCAAAGGATGTATATACATGAATTATCTAGATACAAAATTTCGGCAAATGGTTTTGGAAAGATGCTATGTTGAAATTGAAATACTGTATATACATTATTCTTTCCATGACAAACTCTGTATTCCAGGGCAATGGTGATTGGGCCTGCGACGCTGCGCTGTGGACCGTTGCTCTCTAAGTCGTTGCAACAACTGTGTCGTTGACCAGGGACACTGTGCCGTCGACCTCTCTCAACCAACGCGACACAGTGGACGACTGCTCAAGGCTTGGACAACATGTGGCACAGTGAGGGCCAAGACGCAGTGGATGGCTTAGTACCGTCCTTCCTCATCGAAGCAGACCGGTCTGCGTGGCTTAACTGCTGGCCCTATTGCTTGGGTCGCCCCTGATGCGAGAATGTAGTTTGACTCCACAAAGCAACCCTACATGGCTTATGCAATTGACAATAGAAGATGTTGACTAACGCTTGGGACTTCAATGTGGACCGGTAGCAAAAGATCATCAGTGCATTGGCATTTGCACTTTCTACGATTGAGTGTGCTTGAGGTGCACTGTTCTAACCCTGACTGCTGAAGATTTCCACAACATCGTGAGCCAATACAAGGATGGGCTCAGTGACCCTTTGTGTCTCAACGGACACGGTCCTAACGGACTCAGTCTTGGAAAGGACGTGGTGCCCTCTTTGCAGAGCTTCGGCCGGCCTGTTGGCTCAGACTGCTGCGAAACGGCCATTTTGAGCAGTTCCGTGTTGTGTCTGCGAATGAGGCGCTTCGTGAAATATTTGAATTCCAAAGAGCCGTCGGTGCGCTTCCAGCTGCCGGAAATCACAGTCCGACGTTTCTGACTTTTGGAATTTTTGCTTCTTCACCAGGATCTGACCGACTTGAACGATGTAGAATGTGATTTGGGTTGCTCGGTTTGACAAGAGTTTGTTCCACAAGATCCAACCAGCTGTCCCAGGCAGGCTGTAGGCCTGTGCAGCTGAGGTGAAATGGCAAGAGAGGCTTTCAGAGACTTGGAGCAGGCTTTGCTCACGGAAACACCGAGCAAAGCTACTCGTACAAGTTACAAGGGCATTACTACTAGTAACAAGAAGCTACTAGTAACAAGGGCATGGCTACTAGTAACAAGGTTAAATGCTTTCATCGGATGTTTGGTAGACAGACGACCAACTGCTCAATCTAAAGCGATGCCACACTGGATTTGTTGCAAGTTCAAGAGCCTTTCAACACCCAGAGAAGAAGCGTAAGAGAAGAAGCGAACAGCCCGAGCCTGCGACGTGAGGAGACGCACAAGCCTTCTGGCCTTTCACTGAAACGGGGAGCAAGCCTCAACAACTTCTTCACTCGTGAGCTCCTGAGTCTGCTCTTGCTCAGCTTCACCACAGCCAGGGCTTCGGCGCCCAACAATGGAAAGTCTAGGTGTTGCTAGTCAGTGCTTGCTGTGGACACGACCTTTTCTTTGCTTGCACTTTCCACCTGGTCTCCCCCTTTTTACCTGTAGGTCCTCAATCATTTTCTCATTTCATTCAGGAGGTATTCCACCTTGTGTGTCTTCTGATTTCGGTTTAATTTTAGATATACTATATATTTTTGGTGTCAATGTTAGGCAATTTTTTGGACTCCAATCAAAAGGCTCATTTTGTTTATATAGGCTTGTTGGGGCATCATTGAATACCCACACATTGTAGGTTCAGGTACGGGCAAGCTGGTTTGAGGAGCTTAGATATGTAGATTTTACCCTATGAGTTTCTTGAGTATTGATTGCATTGCTTCAGTCAAATCACTTGCAAGGTCCTGTGACCTCAGAGGAGCGTCCAAAATGGCTGAACAGCAAGGAGCACAGTTCTTGTCCGATTCGTCCAGAAATCCGCTTGGAGATTCCGTTGGATTCTCTCATCGATTCTCCGCGTTGCGGACCCGTTGGCGTGTTCTCAGTGGGAGCTCGGGCGTACCCGTCGTCCCGCGGCCGCCCAAACGAGGTTTGATGGGACGCATCGAGCGTACCCGTGCAAATCGAGGTGGCAGGCTCTGCCAGATCCTGCACTCAGATTGAAGTGTTTGAAGTCGCAGACATGACCATGATGACCATGATGACCATGATGACCATGTGCCATTGGCATCGCACAGGACCTCAAGCTCTGGTTCAAGTTCTACTCCCACGTCTGCGCGGGTTGCCGAATCGAAGCCAGATTCGGAGTCTGATCCCGTCGTGATGCATTGATACCGACATACGGGTAGTGGAAGGCGCTGACTTAAACTTGTGAGCGAATGGCGTTGCTTCGCTGGATCTGGCTCGGCTTGGAGTCTCCAAGACGGGAAGAAACATGTCGACAAATTGTCCGAACAGTTGGCTTGGAATAGGAATTCTTTGTTTCTGTTGCTTTCAGAGCCTTTCAAAGTCTTCTTGCCTGGAGCCTGTATTTTTGTTTTGCTCGATATGTTTGATATCTGGGCAGTGAGTCGATGTGACCACCAAGGGTGGCACATCCTGTGTTAAACCGGATTGTTTCATTTCAGCTTCTGAGCTGAACCTGGCCTTCAAGAGAAGCCCAAGATGTACACGCAGGCCCCGTTGGATGTTGCTCTCCAGGTTAAAGGATCAATCAAGGGTCTAGTACAAATTGGTGAATTACAGAGCATTACAGAATTACTATATACTGTACTATACTTTTGGCAAACTCCTGTTGAAGATGATGGATCCTGTGTAAAGCAAGGTCCGGGCAACTAACAGGGTCTGTTTGCAAATGTACCAGGCATGCATTGGCAGAATGGAGACCCACAGGGACGCCCACAAAGTTCCACAGCAAATTTTGTGAAACCGAAACAGTGTTTTGGAGGTCATCGCTACTATGTCGAGGCCATCGCTACTAGTGTGGAGGCCATCGCTATCGCTACTAGGGTGGAGGCCATCGCTCCTAGGGTGGAGACCATCGCTACTGGGGTGGAGGCCATCGCTACTAGGTGGAGGCCATCGCTACCAGGGTGGAGGCCATGGCTCCTAGGGTGGAGGCCATCGCTACTAGGGTGGAGGCAATCGCTGCTCGGGTGGAGGCCATCGCTCAGGGTGGAGGCCATCGCTCCTCGGGTGGAGGCCATCGCTACTGGGGTGGAGGCCATCGCTACTAGGGTGGAGGCCATCGCTGCTAGGGTGGTGCTGGTGTGGGGACTTGATGGGATTTGAACGTGTTTGAATGGGCCACAATTGTTTGTATACTAAAAGGATCTACAACTGCATAAAATTGCAAAACCATTCCGACCATTCTGTTTGTCATGGAAGGTTGCGGGCTGTTCCTGACCTACCCTAAGCCTACCTTTTCACTCTTTATGAAATGGGTGTGATGACCTCCTGGTT